AATCTTGTTTGGAGCATGTCAAAAGCGACCTTTTAATCTTGTCTGGAGAATGTCTAAAGTGACCATTCAATCCTGTCTGGAGGTTGTCAAAAGCGATCATTCAAATTTGTCTGTAGGTTGTCAAACGCGACCTTTCAATCTTGTCTGGAGGTTGTCAAAAGCGACCTTACAATCTTGTCTGGAGGATGTCAAAAGTGACCTTTCAATCTTGTCTGTAAGAAATGTCAAAAGCGACCATTCTATCTTGTCTGGAGGATGTCAAAAGCGACCTTTCAATCTTGTCTGGTGGATGTCAAAAGTGACCTTTCAATCTTGTCTGGAGGATGTCAAAAGTGACCTTACAATCTTGTCTGTAGGTTGTCAAAAGCAATCATTCAATCTTGTCTGGAGATTGTCTAAAGTGACAATTCAATCTTGTCTGTAGGATGTCAAAAGCGATCATTCAATCTTGTCTGGAGAATGTCAAAAGCGACCATTCAATCTTGTCTGAAGGATGTCTAAAGTGACAATTCAATCTTGTCTGTAGGATGTCAAAAGCGACCATTCAATCTTGTCTGAAGGATATCAAAAGCGACCATTCTATCTTGTCTGGAGGATGTCAAAAGTGACCTTTCAATCTTGTCTGTAAGAAATGTCAAAAGTGACCATTCTATCTTGTCTGGAGGATGTCAAAAGCGACCATTCCATCTTGTCTGGAGGATGTCAAAAGTGACCATTCTATCTTGTCTGGAGGATGTCTAAAGTGACAATTCAATCTTGTCTGGTGGATGTCAAAAGTGACCATTCAATCTTGTCTGGAGGATGTCAAAAGCGACCATTCAATCTTGTCTGGAGGATGTCAAAAGCGACCTTTCAATCCTGTCTGGAGGTTGTCAAAAGCGACCATTCAATCTTGTCTGGAGGATGTCAAAAGCGACCATTCAATCTTGTCTGTAGGATGTCAAAAGCGACCATTCAATCTTGTCTGTAGGATGTCAAAAGCGACCTTTCAATCCTGTCTGGAGGTTGTCAAAATCGAAACGTGACTGGTAAAGTTGTGAAATATAACTAATATAACTATTATCAAGTTTTGCATATATTGCAAACGTAATGTTGATAGAAATGTGCCAATATCATAAACTTGACATCGATAAAGATATGATAATATTACAAAAGTGACAATGACAAAGTTGTGCCAAAATTACAAAAGTGACATTGACAAAGTTGTGACAAAATTAAAAACGTGGTATTGATGTAGTTGTGCCAAAATTACAAACGTGATATTGATAAAGTTGTACCAAAATTACAAACGAGATATTGATAAAGTTGTGAAAAAAATACAAACGTGACATTGATAAAGTTGTGAAAATATTACAAACGTGACATTGATAAAGTTGTGAAAATATTACAAACGTGACGTTGATAAAGATGTGACCATATTACAAACGTGACAATGATAAAGATGTGATCATATAACAAACGTGACATTGATAAAAATGTGATCATATTACAAACGTGACAATGATAAAGATGTGACCATATTACAAACGTGACAATGATAAAGATGTGATCATATTACAAACGTGACGTTGATAAAGATGTGACCATATTACAAACGTGACAATGATAAAGATGTGACCATATTACAAACGTGACAACGATAAAGATGTGATCATATTACAAACGTGACAATGATAAAGATGTGATCATATTACAAACGTGACGTTGATAAAGATGTGACCATATTACAAACGTGACAATGATAAAGATGTGATCATATTACAAACGTGACGTTGATAAAGATGTGACCATATTACAAACGTGACAATGATAAAGATGTGATCATATTACAAACGTGACATTGATTAAAGGGAGAAAAAATATTGCAAATTTGACAAATTGATGACGATGTGACATTGATGAAGATGTGGTGATATTACACATGTGGCTTGGATAAAGGGGGGGGAATATTACAATTGTAACGCTGATAATCATGTAACAATATAAAAAATGTGACACTGATAAAGATTCAACAATGTTGCACATGTTACACAAACCAAGGGAGCGAGAAGCGAACTTACTGTGATGTTTAAACAAACGACACTCGAGTGTATTTGAACATTGGAATTCGTCACGACCATAAGGGGATATTATGTATTTATATAAAATGGCTGAAGACAGATTAGGACTGTAACATGACTAACCGTAAAAGATTAAGGAAATAAAAAACTACAAGGATACTTGAATGGTTTTGTTTCTATAATTACCAGCTGGTATAACGAACAAGTGAATAGCTCACAACGACGTGTCTGCTGTGAGAAAATTGTTTGTTTTCTATAATTTTCGAATCAATGTTCAAATGTTACTGACATCGCCGACAAACACATGTAGAATTTCCTCTTCATTTTGGAGCCTAGAGCCCATAATTATAGGCGGTGCATTATAGGGCTTTGTCTCTGCGGCCGGAGATATGATTTCGTTAGGGCCATGTACACTGTCGTGATATCTACACATACATAAACGTTTTCAACCATTCTCGGAATAAGACAATCGGCAATTTTACACAATCAAGTTATTCCGCCACGATGCTAACCACGAGGAAAACATGTTTAGAACGTCTGGTTGGAAATCTTCGTCTGTATTTCGAACTGTCAACTCATGTTGTGGGATGTGTACAAATACAAGCATACAAATACGTTTTGTAGACCTAGAGTTACAAACAAAGTAGATTCATTAAACAAAAAACTAATTCAGCCGTCGCTAAATGCGTATCGTTGTCAGTCGAGATCTAACTAGAAAATAACTAGCTTTTAGGAATGAATTGAACCATATTGGTTCGACATCCTTGTTATCAAACTGAGTGCCGATACATACACATTGGTCTCAATTTGAGTAACCCAGGATACCATTATTTTGATTACGCGTATATTTAATAGTCGACAAACATGAAACTAAACGCGGTTGGTAATTGATCGGTCGGCGGGGAAGTCAACATCGCCATCACAAGCTGACCAGTATTGACCCGTTCTTCGGATTATATCTCTGCGGCGTGGGTTCGAATCCCACCGGATCGTTAAAACGATACCAAAACCTAATTGAATAAGTTACAATGTAATTGGTTATCAATATTCGTACAACGTGTAAACTTCTCGGGCGATGATATGACGGATGATTGGTATCAAATTCAGAGTTACCTGAGAATACAGCGTTACAGATAGGCTACCGTTATGGCAGTCTACCTGTATGATTACCTACTTAAATATACACGGTGATGACAACACATGGCCCTGCCAGCCGCTGCAACTAACGACACGGCGATTAGCATCTCATCGCCTTACAAAGTAAAACCTAACACAAACTGCCCAGCATTCTAGTTGACAACACTGGGTGATAGTGAGAAGAGAGTTACATGTCCGTGTCGCCTGGCCTGCCGAGTGTGTCATTCTCTACTACTATACATAGGCCCGTCATCGACCAGAACCGGCAGGTGACAAACTTGATAATGTATGTACACCGTATACGACACTAGCCCGGACTAGCGACTTACGGCGCTCTACACACGATTGGCGCGGCTGAATGTCATTGCATAGCGCGGTGTATGGACAAGCGAACTGCTAGTATTGGCGGCAAACGTACGTACCTTGGTGAAACAGCGCCATAAGAGATTGTGACAATTTGGTTTTTTCCCTGCCAAAACAATTTATTACCTTTCTTTTCATGGATTTTTAAACAACTACATTTTGTCATAACTTCCTTCTATGACTAAAAAAATATGAAATGGTTTTTACGGAATAGCGCGCAAACATACTTAACATACCTTGTTCGCGGAAGATTTTCTCTACGGGAATTGCACTAAAACGTTGGTGGAAACTACTATGTGACGAGACTAACAGTTTTGGAAGGTGTATACTGTGTGAAACAACATAATTGTAAGGAGTTCTCTGCTCTGTTGCTTTTGGAAATCTAAAAAAAACTTTCATTACAGAGTACGCTTGTGGACAGAAATGGAAACTTTGCATAAATTAATGTGGATGGTTGTGAGAGAGGATAGCTACTTAACTTGCCCGTCGATTGGTAGGGATTAGAGATGTAAGGAAGCTATTAGCGCGCGACATCAAGGTACGTATGTGGGAATATCTATCCCCTGTCCTCTTTTTACCTTCATCTTTTTTCCTCTTTATATAATCAACATGGACTATCACTTATTTTCGCGGCAGTAATTAAAAAAATAGCGTGCAAACACAAGCACAGATTAAAGAAGCGTGCAAAAAGATTTCTACACGCAATGCGAATTTGTTTGGAAGTCGGCCGATGATGTCACTGCCTGATAATTGCATATCTCCAATTAGCGTCTGGTGGGAAAACTGATAGATTATTTTCAACAGCACGAGACCTTTCCGTATTTTGCTATCATTGCTCGGAGTTCGGCGGAAACCAGATTACTATCACTTACAGTTACCAAGGAAGGAACGTAAACAATGCCATAATACTGATGACATAATATATTTATAAGTTTCTTCAATGCTCAGAGTACAGACAAGTTATACGGCAATATATTTATTAACAGAATTCGACATAACAAAAATCCGATGTGAGATTTTCATAACAAAATGGTTTATGAAAGTGTTGCAGTGATTTTGAATGCTGCGTGCACTAATGATGCGATACCCTTTGGTACAAAAAATACACGTACTGAAAAGTACACACGAACAGACCAATTAAGTGGAATAACATATGGACGTATCATTTACATACACATCCAGTATGGTTGCTGTACGAGATCGTTCTAATTTGACAGCATCGAATATGTTCTTACCTTCACGCTACAACAAACGTGCATGCTAGCTCGACAAAAGCTTAGTAATAAATATTAATTTTCATAATCTAACATGGAAACCCGTTGGACGTGGTGTACTGAAATGGCCGTCACAGTAGCTATGTGCACTAAAATTGTGTTGAAGATAAGATTTTTTACACACTAATTTCAGATTTCATGAGTTCGCCGTCACAGCGCTACCACCATGCAGAAGGCGATCCGCTTCAACGAAAACCAACTTCTTTACCTGGCGTCGAAATCGAGGCGGGAAAACACCATAGCTGGATATCTTCATAAGAAAAGTTCGGACACTGGAAAATGGCAACTGCGATATTTCATATTGTATCAGAATCTATTGTTTTACTTTGAGAGTGAGACTGCAGGTCGGCCGTCTGGAGTGGCCCTGTTAGAAGGCAGCTACTGTGATCGCGTTCTGACACCGGCTGCTCTGAAGGCCGGCAAGGACACAGAGAAACAGGTAAGTTTTTTCAGATTGATTGAAATTATTGGAAATATGATGTGCGTGTAACTGTGTGTATGGATCTGTAATGTACGTCAGTAATGTTTTTTTTCCAGAGAATTAAGGACTAGAGCACACAATAACCAGATGTGTTCATGCATAACAAGTGTGTGTTTAGGTCAACTCTAATCGAACATAGGCTTTGCTGAACGTTATCGCGAGTTGTTGCGCGCCAAAATGGTCGATTTAGTTTGTAAATATTTCAATTTCACGATAACGCGGGTTTGTTTCCTGATTAAAGATGGCGTGAACACCCCACTTCCTGTTACCGTAAACGCAGTCTAAACGGAGTAAGACTTGATTACTTACTGTAGGCCTACGGGGGGTGATAACTGTAAGTGGTCAGTTGTTGGTGAGGTGAAAGACGGACAGTGATCAACCACACTACTGTGCTCCGGGTGAATCAACGTGATGAAGACAAACGCTGTGACCTTGCCCGTGGTTACCTTTGATGAAGAGAACACATGTTTCAGCTTCAGCACTATAAAGCTATGACATATGTACATGTGTATATATCTGTACATCGTTAGTGCTTCTACAGGTAATGTTTGAGAAACTTGACGTGCAGAGCTGAAACAGGTGTGCATCTGGAGTGGTGATAAAGAAACAGGAAAATATCTAATCAGAGTGCATCAGTAAATAGGTAGCTTTGAAACAACCAACCAGCGATTTGATTATAATGCATGGTCAGGAAAAAGTAGGCTTGTTTTTGCTACATTTTTACCTGAACTTCCAGGTGGTATCAGAAGTTACACAAATATCTTGTCAAGTGATTATTTTGCACTCTTTTACAGCCTTAAATCTGTTTTTTTCCTGTATTTCTCAGAAGTGAAGGAAATAATAAATTAACATGATAAGATAACACTGTCTCATCATGTAGGAAAATGCCTCTTTTTTCACATAGGAACACTCAACTGTACACCAACTACCTGTTTTTTTCTTTGGGATATAGAAACAATGCTGTACCTGGTATTAGTGAATTTGGCCATGTAACATACCAGGTTTGAAAACATAGTTAATGCATGTTTTCTTTTAATGTGTTTACGTATTCCTGGACTGTATGAATGACTGATACATAAATAATTAAGTAAATAAATAAAAAAAAACAGATATCTACAATGGTTATAAGTATTTTCACCTGATGTAAAAACCTGGAAGTTGTGAAAACAGACATGCTCTAACTATGGATGTTTCTTAAGCTTCAAATACATGTAAACTGTGTGTGTCACAGAGGTGATTATTTCAATACCTCCACTAGGAATTGAACCCGGTGTCATATCATATTTGGATCCCCCATCAGAAAAGGATCCGGATCACTTTTCTGGCGATCAGTAAATGATCCCCCCAATAGTATTTTGATCCCCCTTAAGAGAAGTTATATTAACAGTGCATATATGCATGTATTTAAGGCGATAGTTAAAATATGATGATAGGTGTTATATTAGCTGTGTAGTTGTTAATTACACCTGGCCAACCAGTCAATTACATAAGAGGATTAAGGGTAGAGGGGTCAAACCTGAGTGAGCACCCATGTGCACATGGCAGGTATATTGAGTGATCAATTAAAGTTACCTGTGGATAAATTCCTTTATAGATTGATTGAGGCCATCATTTTACATAAAAGCTGTGTTTAATATACATTTTCCACTTTAAAATTAATATGTACATATTTGCATGAATATTAAAACTTGCAAATAAATTGCTTAACAGTTGTCTAATTGAAAAAAAAATGCATGCTATACATGTATGTGTGTTGGATCATTAGGGATTTAATTTTAGGTAAAAAACGTCCTTGTTTTTATGAGAAAACAACTGATATTTGTCCAAACATAGGCCTTTAATTTTCTTTATTCCATGCATGTATGTTGCATCTTCTTTCCTGTAAGTGACTTGATTAATAAAAATGGGTCTTATTGTACACTATTGGTAAATAATTCTTTCCTTTTTACCTCAGAAGTTATACAATGATTTCTTATATATAAATATATATTTACCTCAAAGTTTTATAAACATGTTAGAGTAAACTAATTATATATGGATCACTAAGTGTTAATTTCCCACTCTGCATACATGTTCAGAATTGTATATTGTTTGTAAACTTTGTATATATAATTTCGACATTAATTGTAACTAATTTTCTCCTTTTCAATTTAAAAATACTTTCTTTTTGTACGTCCCTTTCTGTTTATAATTATTGACCCTAAAATCTCTCTTTCATCAAAATATATCCTTTTAGGTCAACTGTTAATTTTCCCTTTGCCCATATATACATATATACATGTATATAAAAATTCTCCATTGAATCCATAAACTTATTTTCCATGAAGTATATTTGGGACAGGTTATATATAGAGTAATTATGTATGCAGTCATCTTATAAGCCCCTGTTAGTCACTACCTGTACAGGGTAATCTGGAGTTTGACCTCTTCAGCCTTGGCTCCACGGGTGTTATGTAATCACACCTGTACAGGTAACCCAGGTATCAGTAACCAAGTCCCAGACACAGTTACCTATCATATCTCATTTTATTTATAAAGCTATAAAGTTTAAAATAAAATTCACAAGGGGGATCAAAATACTATAGGGGGGATCCTTTTCTTATGGGGGGAAAAGCGATCCCCGGTCTTTTTCTGATGAGGGAAAAGTGATCCGGATCCTTTTCTGATGGGGAATACAAATGACACCGGGACGACCCCTAGCGTACTAGTCTGATCCTCAACCAATCGTGATAAAGAGAAGTTCTCTCTAGCCAAGTGGTATATTGCGGCTAGTATTTTACCAGGGTTACATTTGTGCAAAAGTTGAAAAAGTTGGTCCAGAATTTGAGAAGATCCCTGAATCACTATACACCTGATATATCACAAGTTATACAGATCAATGTGAGTGGGTTATGTAATATTCTCAAGGTTATAGAAAATAAGTGTGATCATTAAGTTATTTAGAAAGAGATCTATCTATGTGAGGTACTGTCAGCTTCAGCTCATGTTAAACATTGTTAAAAATCCTACAAAAACAGGGATAGGTTACTTACAGTGTATTAGATATATTGATACAAAGCCTTACAGCTGGTTTGATTTACAATCCAGTACTTTACAGTAAGGTTACCGACAATGTATTAGATATATTGATACAAAGCCTTACAGCTGGTTTGATTGTACAATTCAGTACTTTACAGTAATATTACCGACAATGTATTAGATATATTGATACAAAGTCTTACATCAAACAGCTGGTTTGATTGTACAATCCAGTACTTTACAGTAATGTTACCGACAATGTATTAGATATATTGATACAAAGCCTTACAGCTGGTTTGATTTACAATTCAGTACTTTACAGTAATGTTACCGACAATGTATTAGATATATTGATACAAAGCCTTACAGCTGGTTTGATTGTACAATCCAGTACTTTACACTAATGTTACCGACAATGTATTAGATATATTGATACAAAGCTTTACATCAAACAGCAGGTTTGATTGTACAATCCAGTACTTTACAGTAATGTTACCGACAATGTATTAGATATATTGATACAAAGCCTTACAGCTGGTTTGATTGTACAATTCAGTACTTTACAGTAATGTTACCGACAATGTATTAGATATATTGATACAAAGCCTTACAGCTGGTTTGATTGTACAATCCAGTACTTTACACTAATGTTACCGACAATGTATTAGATATATTGATACAAAGCTTTACATCAAACAGCAGGTTTGATTGTACAATCCAGTACTTTACAGTAATGTTACCGACAATGTATTAGATATATTGATACAAAGCCTTACAGCTGGTTTGATTGTACAATCCCTCATAACTTTGCAGTAAAGTTCTACAAAGCCTTAGTTTAGACAGCTGGTATGATCTTACAGGATCTTTGTTCAACCTTTCCCTTCATTTTATTGTTGTTGATTAGTGAAACAATAATTTAAAGTCACATCTTGAATTCAATTGCTATAAAAGGGTTGCACCTATAAGGTTGTTGAAGATGGAATGTAATAATTTTTTAAACAAATGCAAGTTGATGTGATGATGGAAGTTAACCAACCTTATACCATGATTTCAGTTTAACATGAGTTGGTGAAGGAAAGTTTGGAAAAACTTGATGTTTGTTGTGGTATATTCTTGAAAATTAAGATTCAGTATTTTTTAAATATTTATTAATTATCATATTAACATTCACATTTAACATTGGATATATGTCTTCAAGTAATTTGTATGTTGAAATTTGTAAAAATGTATTTTGAATTTTTCTGGCTAACATTATGTGTTGTATAATTTGTATTAAAATGTATATGTTGAATTGTTGAAGTTTGATTGGGAGAAGTGTTCTGCATTATCGGGATTATTATTTTTAGTGCAGAAGAGTTCTGATTTGTAACTCTAGTGCAGAAGAGTTCTGATTTGTACCCCTAGTGCAGAAGAGTTCTGATTTGTATCTCCAATGCAGAAGAGTTCTGATTTGTATCTCCAGTGCAGAAGAGTTCTGATTTGTATCTCTAGTGCAGAAGAGTTCTGATTTGTATCTCTAGTGCAGAAGAGTTCTGATTTGTATCTCTAGTGCAGAAGTGTTCTGATTTGTACCCCTAGTGCAGAAGAGTTCTGATTTGTATCTCTAGTGCAGAAGAGTTCTGATTTGTATCTCTAGTGCAGAAGTGTTCTGATTTGTATCTCCAATGCAGAAGAGTTCTGATTTGTATCTCCAGTGCAGAAGAGTTCTGATTGGTATCTCCAGTGCAGAAGAGTTCTGATTGGTATCTCCAGTGCAGAAGAGTTCTGATTTGTATCTCCAATGCAGAAGAGTTCTGATTTGTACCCCTAGTGCAGAAGAGTTCTGATTTGTACCCCTAGTGCAGAAGAGTTCTGATTTGTATCTCCAATGCAGAAGAGTTCTGATTTGTATCTCCAATGCAGAAGAGTTCTGATTTGTATCTCCAATGCAGAAGAGTTCT